ACAAAATTCTAAACGACGATCAAAGTCATCTTCATTGATTTGCTGTGACAATTGAATTTTGTATGGATGGAACTTGTGATGTTTTAAAATCCGTCGAATACTGGTCCGACTAATGCAGATCCTGATGCAGCAGTCAATTGTCTTGTACTCAACGTAGGATTGATAGTAAAGTGGTATCGCCTCTTCCACCACTTCATTTCTTACCGGGTTTTGAGCGTTTCGCTTTTTATTGTATACAGAACCGGTCGCCCGAAATTTCCTCACTAACTCTGCATGATGTTAGTTGAATAATTCGACTGTTCTATTAGCACATTCTTTGTTACGAAAGAAAACTTCAATTAGTTCAATCCTCTTTGTAATCGAGTAAACCATTATTTGAATTGTAGAAGTAACGAAAACTACGAATGATGTATTGCTTGTCGCTACAGGCACGGACTGTCGTTATCCATTCACATTTAAAAGGCACAAATGCTTTGTTTGCAAACAAGAGAAACATAAATGTCATTTCATTTGTATCATGCGTACATTTCTTTACGTACGGCATTTGTAGTTCTAGCAGCTAGTTGACACGTAAGTTGCTAGTTTAGTAAATTTCTTATTTCTTTGAAGCATATTTTCTCGGGAAAAAATGATCGAAATTCAAAAATAAAACATTATTGTAAAGGGAATTTAATGCGTTGATATGTTGCTAGATACCACTTGCCATTCAAAATTTTTATGGTGAAATTAATTTATCTTATGGGGTTGAAATTTGGTGAACGAAAATAGCTAATTAACATGTCCCCCTTGAAACTAAAGTTGACATATCTGAGCGTTTTTCGAATTAATTAATTAATTCAATACCAAAAAACACATTTGTTTCGTTTTCGGTGGCCCACTCTGTATATATTTTCATTTATTTTAGGAATGAATATCACACATATCAACACTACTTTACTGACTCGAAACTCTCTACCCGTGCACATCATCCGAGTGGAATCTCCCACATTGTTTTGGGTACAATTAAAGTATAACAGAGCAACGCTCCTGGAGCTGCAAGAAGACCTGGAGTGGGTATTAAAAAGAAGACCAAATAGGTACATCCTGCCAGGGTTGGGAAGTAACGCGTTATTTGTACTGATATCGTTACTTTTTTGAGTAACGATTAGGTAACGCCATTATTTTTTGGTGTCAGTAACGAAAAAGTAACGGCGATACATTTTTTTTGTAACGAGTAACAAAACGTCCGTTACTTTAATCGTTACTTTTTAATTTTTATAAAATTAAACTTAATTGTATTTAATTTCTATGCATTTTTTGTTTTATGCTGAATTTAATGAGAACCAATAAAGATGGACTCACATATTGTCATCCATTGGCTATACAGAAAAGTTTAAAAAAAAGGTGAGTTGGTGTAATTTGGTTAATACATATGTTCATCAAATAACATTCATCTGATCAAAAAGAAAAATCAATATGTTCATATTTAATTTTATTGATTTAACTTTAGGTTTTGTACTACATTTGAAAAAGAAGAATTGATAATTGCCAGCTGTTTGCATCCCAAATTGAATTGGTTAGCTGGAGATAAGTGAAAACTTGCACAAACGTATTTAGAAGATTTATAAGGAATTCCTTTAATTAAAAATTTTTTGATGTCTGATAAGCACAATAATAACGATGATTTTTTAAATTTTAAATAGCAAACATCAAATGAGAAATTTGCCTATGGTGAATGGCAAAGATTTTTTAAGTTAACAGGCACTAATATCCAAATATTAAATTCATATCTACTAATTAAGAAACTTTTCATTAAGTACAACAATTAATAACATAAAATAATAAAAATATTTAAATATATATATATATATTATATATATATTTCTAATCGTCTTATGTCTTATATCTTGTCTTAGCACCTTTCTTATAATCCTGGATTTACAACAAATAAAATTAACGGAAAGTAACGAAATAAAATATTGTTACTTTCAAGTAACGGTAACGCGTTATTTTTTAAGATCAATAACGAGTAACGATAACGAATTACTTTTTACCGAAAGTAATGGTAACGGTAACGAGTTACTTTTAAAAAGTAACTTTCCCAACCCTGCATCCTGCTACCTCATGCGATTACTCCAGGCAGGACAGTAGCAGTACGCAACCTCGACTAATAGTGTCGAGGCACAGTAACAGAAACAAGAAGGGGAGTCGCCTTCATATAACTGGGCGACTGGGGAGAATATGTTACAAGAACATTCACGGACATTTATCAGCTGCCAGATCAATTCCATCAGATGCCGTAGCAAGCTATTCCCTGCAGATTATGTAATATAAAACTTGTAGATCCATCCCTAGCATGGTCAACAAAGGCTAAGCAGTTAACTAAACTTTTGGCGGAAGGCGAGGAGGGATGGATGAAGATCCAAAAGACTGCATCCACACGATCCGTGAAAGTCGAAATGTAGATGTCTCGACCTAATCGACTGAGCTACAGCTCCTTAAGAACAGAACTAATCGAACTGGGCTAAGCTGAACCAATCACCAGCGAATACTGAACAAATCAGACTAATCTTGCTAATACATATACCGGGTGTTTCAAACCACCCGAGTCACCCGATTTTTTCGTTAACGCGACATTTTAGAGAAAAATATTTCAGACAAAAGTGGTAGGGCTTCAAAGGATCTATTTACCAACGCTATGAATTTGACCTTGGAATAACCTTGAAAAGTCCAGACAAGATCAACATAAAAATCTGAAATGGGAACCGCGATTTTTTATTACACCGACGTTTTCCAGCGATTAATTTGAACAGTTTTTGTCTAAAATATTTTTTCATTTGCCTAGTATTTTTCTAGATATTGAAGGAAAACTTGATTACTTTTGCAATATTTAATTTATGATATCTCGCTAACTAGTTGTCCGAAGAAAAAGTGGTACTAGACTTTTTTGTTCTATTTAGTCTTAAGAATATACTTTTACAATAGCGCCCTGACTTTTGTTAATTTGCTGATTTCTGGAAATTTCAAAATCATCAAATTAATCAAATTCAGGGCGCTATGGGAACATATTCTTGAGACTAAATAGAGCAAAAAAGTCTAGTACTACTTTTTCTTGTGACAAATAGTTAGCGAGATATCATGAGTTAAATATTAAAAAAGTTACTAAGTTTTCCCTAAATATTGCAAAAAATAATAGGCAAATGAAAAAATATTTCAGATAAAAGTTATTAAAATTAATTGGTAGAAAAAGAAGATATAATAAAAAATTGAGCTTTCTATTTTAAAAAATGAAGTTGACCTTCAACTGACCTTGAAAATACCCTCCAAATAAAAAACTGATAATGCCAATAGTCGCGTTCAGCAGAAAAAGCTGCTTACTAAGCACTTAGTGATTACCGTTTCTGATTGGTTCATTCCCCTGGATTTGTTAAAGATCTAAAAGAATACTCCATCATCCTCATAGATAATCACTAAGCGTTTAGTAAGCAGCTTCCTCTGTTGAACGGGACCATTCTCTTTCCCCTTGGAAATCATGGAAAATGTGTTTTTGCTTTTTCAATATTTTTCATAGTTATCGAGATTTTTTAATGCGAAAGTTAAAATAGGACACCCTGTATACAGGGTGGCCCATGTAAAACGTTACAAGTCCATAACTTTAAAAATATTTATCAAATCAAAAAATTGTTCATACGAAAGTTTCATGTATTCGAGAAGCCTCTCTAACTAAACAAACGTAAAATCGCTTTAACTTCCCCTTTAAGGGGGAGGGAGTAACTTCATAATTTTAAATGGAACCTCCTATAAAATGTTAAATATTTGGATTCTACGGGAAAAAGCAAGTAAACTTCTTTTTAAACATTTATTTGAAAAATGCTTCTATCAAAAGTTATAATAAAGATATATATATATATATATATATAAGCATTTAAACCTTTAGCGATTTCATTCATGATTGAACTCCATTAACACAAAGTTGCGTTCGCGATACAACAATAACAAAAAAGACCTTAGAGTACATACTTGATAGTAGTATAAGGGTAGGTATGGCCAGTCAAAACATTCCCCCTCTACTCGACCCTCCGGCGCCACTAGATCACGCCCACCAGCGCCGGAGGGTCGAGTGGAGGAGGAATGTTTTGAGTGGCCATACCTACCCCTAAGGTTGAAATTTTGCGGAAATTTGAATCACCGGAATAAAAATTAGCGTAATCTAAATATTAAATTTTTAATATTCATATTAGGCGTTGTTAGTGATTCTAGCTCTTGGTCAGCTGGTTAATTTATATATTACTTTTGGAAAAATCTCTTTAGGTACCCTCTGCGAGGCTCGAACCCGGGGCCTCAGGCTCTTCAGTCAAACGTCTTACTGCTCTACTGCTACTCTTTGGTAGAAACTGGTTTCACGGCGTACACGTAGAACGGAGAGGTGTGTGTGTGTGTGTGTGTGTATGTGGTTAGTATATGTAGTCTCTGGAAAAATCCTGTAGACCCTTGGCCGGATTCGAACCTGGGTCCCGCTGGCTTTCGAGAGTCAAACGTCTTATGCACTACGCTACTGCTATACCTTGATGGAAACTAGCTATATTTGTATACACACGAAGAGTATTGACGTCACGCATGAAAAATTTGGCAAATTCTAAAACCTACGGGACTCGAGCCCCCACCATGAGACCCCGGCTCTCGACTCTCGTGAGCGTGTGCGAGCATGTTCGAGCAGGTAGGGATCATTTCGAAGACAAAAACTACCCAGCGATTGTTGGAAGATGATACCTCTGGTCTATGTCTACCCGAATGTTTTTATATGTGCGGGTCTCCTCGCTTTCGAACTCGAAAAGTTTACAACGGGATTTGTTACTTCGAACTGGAAATTACAGGGAAGAGAGAAGAGGTGAAGAGAAAGGAATGCACAATATTTTTCATAGAATTAATTCACATTTTATTTTTCATGATTAAGATGAGACATTTATTAAAATTGCTCGTACAATTTTATTTAAATAAATCGAAGTAATTTCTTGAAATATAATGTGGAAATAAATATCTAGAAACATTAAATCTTTTAATTGCCGATGTTCATTTTGCTCGATTTCCTGATAGTTTGCGAAGAGCGTCTATTTCACGATGTCCTCATCTAAGTTTTTTTTGAGAAGCCTGAGTTCTATCTCCGTTACGAGAAACCGAGCGCAATCGTTTACAAGTTTTGCAAACGTTTGCAGTTGTTCACATCGAGCGTCAATACATTTTGTTATAAGTTCTAGCCCGTCAAAAGATGTTGCCTGCATCACAATGTTTACCGTGTAGACATTTCGTTTCTTCGTTGGCGGCTGCTGTCCCTGAGATGAATCGGTAGGCATCCTCTTCGATGCGGTGTTCACCTCGATCGTTTTCGTATTTTCAGTCACTATGATCGCCCTTGCCCCATACGCCGTGGAAAAGGTAATAGTCACATCGTTAATATGGACGGGCTCCGGCACGGCCCTGGTTACCGAGTGCAAGTAATCACCTATGTGTTTCATGTACTCCTTAAACTTTTCCCATGTGGCGAAGTCGAACTGGATCTCTGTAGAGGTATTGCCAGATAGTTTTATTGTAGGCTCGAACGTTGTCCCGTCGTTTGATGCCCGCAATCCGATTTGCATCCTCTTGGTATCCGAAGTGTTGAGGGGATAAGTAATGCAAGGAAGCATATAGCTCTCATAGCGAGCCTTCCCAGAGTCACCATACGATCTTCTTAAATTCTGCGTTTGCGTTAGTATTCGCCATTATGTTTCTTACAAGAACTTATTAACCCACAAGTGAAAACACGAGAACTAATATACTTCGTCGCACGAAACGAGTACTAAGACTGAAGAAGCTCAAATGGTTTGGGCCCAGCCCAATGGGCTTCTTATAGGAAAAAGAAAAGTGGAGGGGTAGTTCTGTGTGCATACAACAAATAAATTTATTTCTTAATATTTGTTAAATGATTCAGCCTAGAATGTTCTAGAATTTCTCAGAACGGAGCATATGTGTTCCTACAGGTTTTATGATGTCGTGGGAGCAGGCGTTATATTTGTCGAAGCAGTGGATGGGAAAATACATTTTATGGTTTTTTGCGAAAATTTCCAATCGGACTCTATTGTAGTCAAAACCGATTATATTGTCCATCCTTACATCTAAATTTATGTTTAGATAAACACATTTCTACAAATCGTTTGTGTAGGCCGCAGAGGAATGGCGCACATTTTTTCACATCTGAGAATTTATAAAAACGAGAAGAAAGAAGATTTATTCTTTTGTGACTGAACGGAATGCGCGAACCCTGCAGATTCCGACGGGTGTTATCGCAGGAATAAGCATTATATTTGCCGAATCAGCGGATGCGAAAATGCCCTTTACATCTCTTTTGTGAACCGGAGTCCTATCCTAGTCAAAACTGATTATATTTCCTTCCACGCATCTAAATTTAGATAAACAGACAATTCTACAAAACGTTTTTCGTATAGGCCTTAAGGGAACCGCACGGAACTCGCATTTTTCACGTCTGAGAATGCGAGATATAGATATGAGAAGAAAAAGGTTTATTCCTTTATAGCAGGAATAATGTGATCCTTTAACAGATACCAAATTCTGCGATAAAACTAGACGAGTATATTGCCGAAAAGCGTTGGTATAGTTAGTCCCGCCTTATTTACACAAGCATTCGTGGAGGTTTCTCAAAATTTTGGAAGATCCATGTTATATAAGAGTGTTCAAAACTGCTGCGACGTATTTTACTGTTTCCATCGCTTCGAGCAACATTCCTATTCCGTGATATTCGTGAATGTATAAGATGTCGCAGCTTTTCAAAATTGTACGTGACTGTATAATCGTAGCGTCAGTAGCAAATCCAATAATCAAACGTGAGAAATATTTGTGCGAACGCGCGAGTAATAATAATGAGAAGACATATGAAGTGTTTTATAAATTCGCGGCCATGTGCAGTAGTGGTCTACTGGCGATGTTATTCGCTTGCGGGCAATTTAAAAATAATCCTCGCTGGCATGAGATCGCAGCCGAGATTGTGGAAGCGAGAAGATTACTCGGAAAGAATGAAGAAAATATCGGTGACTGTGTTCAGGACATGCTCCTTTCCGCATTGTAAGTAATTTCCTTTCGCTGTAATGTGACATAAAAGAATAAGTCTAATAAATGCTGGTGTTCACGAATACGTTCTTGTGTTCTTCATTTTGTCAGTTCTCACCAATACTGTACGAAGCGGAAATCCAAAGAGCCGCTCTCGTGATGCTACTAAACCACGCCCACCGGCGCCGGCGGGTCGAGTGGAGGGGGAATGTTTTGACGGGCCATACCTCCCCACAGGCAAAAACTAATCAACTTTTGAAATAAGCAAATTATGGCTGATATTATTAGGGGTTGGCTCTTGATCAGCTACTTAATTTGCATATTGCATTTGCAGAAAAACTCTGTAAACTCTGCTGGATTCGAACCTGGGACCTCTGGCTCTTGAGTCACGCGTCTTTCCACTACGCTACTGCTATACCCTGATGGAAACTAGTTATATTGCCTACATACGAAAAGTATCGACGTCATAAAGTTTTGGTAAAACCCTGTAAAAGGCCCTGCTGGATTCGAACCTGGGAACTTTTAGACCTTGAGTCAAACTGTCTTACCACTGCGCTACTACTATACCCTGATGTACCCTGAAACTAGTTATACAGGATGTCCCATTTTAAGCGTCCACCTCAAATATCTCTCTTATTTTTTATTTTAGAGAAAAATGGTTCAGATACGTTTTGTATGGTTTCGAGGGGGCTATAAGACGGTACCATTGGTTCGACATTGAAGAGTCATTTGAAGGTCACGTGAAGGTTACTTCAATTTTTTTAGATGGCACCCCCTATTTTTTACTATATATTTTTGTAGCTGACCTCGAGAGCTTCCCAAAACACTATAATCAAATGTTTTTTGGTGAAGTACTTCTCGAGTTATAAAGTTACAAATTTACAAAATTTTGATAAAAATACAAAATATTTCGTAAAACATTCACTTTCCGATAGTCTTATCTTACATGATCCAACCAGTCAAGGCAAGATCCGAGCATGATCCAGCCAGTCAAGGCAAAATCCGAGCATGATCCAGCCAGTCAAAGCAAGATCCGAGCATGATCCAGCCAGTCAAGGCAAGATCCGAGCATGATCCAACCAGTCAAGGCAAGATCTTCTTTTGTGTACAATTACTTAAAGTGTTCAAAAACTTGGTCATTTACTTGTATGCATAGCTCTAGTCTATGGTGAAAGTCGTCCCTAACTTTTTCAAGAACACCTACATTAATATTTCTGCAAGCCTGTCTGATCCGGGTTTTCATATTTTCAACGGTTGTAGGCTTTTTCGAATAAAATATATCTCTAATGTAGCCCCAGAAATAAAAATCTAGGGGTGTCAAGTCGGGTGATCTTGGGGGCCATTCTTGAACTCGGCTGCCCATAACAATCCACCTATTCAGGAATCTATTGTTTAAATATTGTGTAATAGCTCGAGATCTATGAGCCGGTACTCCATCTTGTTGGAACCACATTCGTCTGAGTAAATCATTGTCGACATGTCTCAAGAGGTTGGGCAGGTCATCTTGAAGAAATCTTAGATACATTGCCGCATTGAGATTTTCTTCAAAGAAATATGGACCAACAATAACATCTCCTAGAATACCAGCCCAAACGTTAATGGACCACTGCCGTTGGAACTCTTGGCTTCTCTGCCAATGTGGATTAGCATCTGAATAATAATGGCAGTTATGTCTATTAACGCCTCCTCTATTACAAAACGTGGCTTCATCAGAAAAAAGCGTATCAGCAATGAACCGGGGATTTTGTTGGATTTGATCTCGAGCCCAGTTACAAAAACGTACACGGCGTTGATAGTCCCTCTCTTCCAATTGCTGAGTTAGATGAATGTGATATGGGTGAAACTTGTTGAGCTTGAGCACACGATTGGCTGTTGATTTAGATACACCATATTGCCTCTCAATTTGTCTCGTAGAGATTTGAGGATTCAAAGCAACGGCACCTATAACAGTCAATGATGTGACTTCATCAGGGCCCGATTTTCGCCGGTTTCTTCTAAGAAAACCCTGTTCAGCTCTGTCGCAGAGTCTTTTTATTACTTTCCTATCAGGATGGCGTCTGTCTAGAAATCTTTCAGCATAAAGCCTTTCTGCTGCCGAGTAATTATTCCTAGACTCACCCAAAATGCGAATCATGTCCACAATTTCAGTTGGTGGATAAGCAGTCATAATTCTAAAGAAAAAAAGCGCCAATAGCCAAAAATTCCTGTCTTATCAAAAAAAAGTCAATGGATAATAATATGCGTCTGTCTGAGACTTCGCCAAAATACCGACAGTTGCCCAAGTAAGAAATTTGAAACAAGCCTTTTGATATTTGTTTCATTAAAAGAATTGACAATTGCACTTTCACAAATGTTACAGTTCATTGATTATCAGGCAATACAGGATCTCGTCTTGACTGGCTGGATCATGCTCGGATCTTGCCTTGACTGGCTGGATCATGCTCGGATCTTGCCTTGACTAGTTGGATCATGCTAGGATCTTGGCTTGACTGGTTGGATCATGTAAGATAAGACTATCGGAAAGTGAATGTTTTACGAAATAGTTTGTATTTTTATCAAAATTTTGTAAATTTGGAGCTTTATAACTCGAAAAGTACTTCACCAAAAAAATTTGGTTATAGTGTTTTGGGAAGCTCTCGAGGTCAGCTATAAGAATATGTAATAAAAAATTGGGGGTGCCATCTAAAAAAATTGATGTAACCTTCACGTGATCTTCAAATGACTCTTCAAGGTCAAATCAATGTTACCATCTTATGGCCCTCTCGAAACTATACAACACATGTCTGAACCATTTTTCTCTAAAATAAAAAATAAGAGAGATATTTGGGGTGGACACTTAAAATGGGACACCCTGTATAGCAACTGTTACGTCCTGCGAATCCCGGACAATTATTTATTAAAAAATCTTTTTTTTCTTTTTCTCTCTCCTTTCGAACTTCAATTCGCCTAATATAACTATACAGGGTGTTATAAAAGTCCCGGAAGAGCAGAATAACTCGAAAAATATGAGTCCTAGAGAAATACGAAGTACTGGGTTTTTATGGTTTGTTCATGGCTACCTGGCAGTGACCTTGGATTTGACCTTGACAATGACTTTGAAGGTCATTTGAAGGTCAGATCAATTTTTTTAAATGGGACCCCATACTTTTGACCCCAGAAATGAAAAGAGCGGAAATTTTTACGTTCGGATATGACCTTGAACACTGCCAAATTTGACCTCTGAAGGTCACATAAAGGTCTAAGCTTGTTTTAGACTGAAAACGCGAATATCTTCGAAAATGCACCTGCTAGGGAGCAATGTTACGGCATAAGAATAAGAATGTAGAGATCAACGAGGGAACCGAATCCGACGTCGGATTTTGCAAATTCAAAATGGCCGATTCAAAATAGCGGCCGATATTTAAGAATAACAAAAATTGGATCTCGTTTAAGGAGTTTTTGAAGTCGTTTCTGAAATCGAATCCGACGTTGGATTTTACAAATTCAAGATGACCGATCCAGAATGGCGCCCGATATTGAGGAATTACCAACAATCGGAGTGTGACCTCGTACGTAACGTAAAATCTCACTCTTCACATTATGGGGAAGTAAAAATATGTGTTTCCTGCCTAAAAAAATTAATTGACCTTGATATGACTGACACATAACCTTAAGAACAAGGTTAAGGTTGAAAACGTCATATCGAACGTAAAATTTTTCAATCTTAACACTTTTAGGTCAAAAGTATGGATTTTCAGTCCTAAAAAAGTCCGGTTTGACCTTAATAATAATCTTAACTCACGACCTTGAGAATAAGGACAAGGTCACGGCTGAATGTCCCTCGTTGACCTCTACATTCTTATTCTTATGCGTAACATTGCTCCCTAGCAGGTTCATTTTCGTGTTTTCAGGCTAAAACAAGCTTAGACGTTTATGTGACCTTCAGAGGTAAAATTTGGCAGTGTTCAAGGTCATATCCGAACGTAAAATTTTCCGCTCTTTTCATTTCTGGGGTCAAAGGTATAAGATCCCGTTAAAAAAATTGACTTGACCTTGAAATGACCTTCAAGGTCATTGTCAAGTTCAAATCCAAGGTCACCGTCAGATAGCCAGGAAAAACTTATAATAACCCAGTACTTCATATTTTTTCTAGGACTCATATTTTTCGAGTTATCTGCTCTTCCGGGATTTTTATAACACCCTGTATAATAGGAATATACAGGGTGAAAAAAACTCCGGGACCCCTGAAAATTTCGAAAAATATACACTTCATAAAAAAATGTTCAGACAAAAGTTGTAGCGTTGAAAATATCTATTTATCGATCTCAACAATTTGACCTTGGGTGGCGTCATCAAAGTCAGGACAAAGTTACCTCGGATTTTTTAAATAGACACCCCAATTTTTTATTGCATATTCTTATAGCCCTTCTTCAGACCTTTTCAAAGCACTATGGTTTTATCCAATTTGAATAAGCTGTTCCGAAGTTATCGAGTTTTTTAAAGTAAGATATCTAGCCAACTAAGGCAAGATCGGAGGATGATCCGGCCAACTAAGGCAAGGTCGGAGTGATCGAACCAACTAAGACAAGATCGGAGGGTGATCCAGCCAACTCGTAAAATTAATTGCGCGACTAACTTCCAGGCGTTGGCTCCTATTGGCTTGTCTTAATTTCGTTGATTGATTTATTTGTTATTTATTTATTTGAACTATTCTGCTGTTCAATGTTTATTTCTTCCATTTATTTAGTAATTTGCCTTTTGCCTTAGTTGGCCGGACAACTCCCGACCTTGCCTTAGTTGGCTGGATCATCCTCCGATCTTGCCTTAGTTGGCCGGATCATCCTCCGATCTTGCCTTAATTGGCTGGATCATCCTCTGATCTTGCCTTAGTTGGCTAGATATCTTACTTTAAAAAACTCGATAACTTCGGAACAGCTTATTCAAATTGGATAAAACCATAGTGCTTTGAAAAGGTCTGAAGGAGGACTATAAGAATATGTAATAAAAGATTGAGGGTTCCATTTAAAAAATCCGAGGTGATCTTATCCTGACCTTGATGACGCCACCCAAGGTCAAATTGTTAAGATCGGTAAATAGATATTTTTCAACGCTACAACTTTTGTCTGAAACATTTTTTTATAAAGTGTATATTTTTCGAAATTTTCAAGGTCCCTGAGTTTTTTCTTCACCCTGTATATACAGGGTGCACGATTTATCTAAAGACATTGAAATATCTCGAGAACTATGCATTGGATGAAAAAAAGTGATGAATGAAAGTTGTTAGTCTCGAAGGGGGACATCCAATGATACCAAACTCGACCTCCCATCCCACGCCCTGGGGGTGGGGGTTGGGGCAACTTTAAAATCTTAAATGGAAAC